AACCTGAATGAAAGCCAGCAGACATCACACATATTGTATGGCCATTAGACTTATTTTATTGCAAGCACTGTAAGTAAATGCTGCTGTAAAAAAAATAGTTTTACTGCTGAGACATGAGCTTCTGCAAAATCAGGACAAGATTTGCTGCAATTTTATTTCTACTTTGGGAATTCTCCTGCGTTGGAGGTTTCTCCTTTTGGATAATATGAAAGTTAAAGACTTCCAAAGTTTTGGGGCTTGGAATTACACCAGGTCTTTGATACTCTTTCCAAAGCAGTATTATTGTCTTGCTACTGGCCCTCTGTGGGGTTTCAGCAGTGTGGAGTCTGGGACTGTATACGGCTCAATCCAGCTAAACTCTGCTAGCCATGAACTCATTACTGCCATCGACAGTGCCAACAGTAGACTCTAAATCCTCCACTCGGCTAACAGGCCCGGACTGCGGTTCTATGACTTGCTCAGTTTAATTTGAAGTCAGTCAGGAATATCTTTTGTGGCCAAAGTCCAGGGTCCTTTGTCCTTTTCTTTGCCTAATAATATTTTTTGTATGAAGATGTTTTCTTCCGAGCAAGGTAACTTAACCCGGATAATGAGTTATGATGAAGTCACAGAAAGAAGATCTTACATTTTGTTGATTTACTCTTAGAAATGTTTAGGCTTATTTATAGCTAGTTTCAGTAAATGACCATAAATCAATCTGACTACTAGAAAAAAGAACCAGTAGGCAATGTGTGTTTATGCCAGGCTTATTTTACACTATATTATGTAGTGTAGGCCAGGGGACTTTCTATCTTACCCTCCATATGAAACAGAAGCACACTAGTGCTAAGAGCTTTCATTTAAGTGACTGGAGGATTAACAGGGAAAATGAGACAACCTAATAAAAACATATGGAAGTACAGATTTGTCAGAGCCCTGAGAGCAGCTCAGCTTGCCTTGTGGAGTGAAAAAAGAGCAAGTCAGGAGTGAGGAAAGGAAAAACTGGTCTTTGGTTTGGTTATTTATTTTTTCTAGTAGAGAATCAAGAATTGTAAATAATTTGAGATAGTTTTAGGCAACATGATGTTTAATAATTTATCCTGCTGACACAGCACAGTAATGTCTGCAGAGTGTGTTCTTCTACTTCAGTTTTACACTTCAACAAAGAACACATTGTGTGTTTTGATCAAGTAAACATATTGTGCAGATCATGGGTGTTGTCATTATTTAATAATAGAACAGTCCAAATCAAAAACTTACTTTGAAGACAAATTTGCATTCTACTCTAATGGTTTTCCAAAAATCTGAAATTTTGGAGGTCTGTAACACACCTGTGTTTAGCTGTGCAGTTGTTGTTAAGTGATGCCGACTGCAGGTGAGCCGCTGGTATCATCTGATCCAGAAAGGTCCCAAAATACTGTTAGTCCTACTCGTAGCTCTCTGGGTTCATGGGCATGAGCTCAAAGTTTACAAACCTACATCACAGAGGAACTTGGGATCACTCCTGTCATCAAGTTTCCACTGAAGTTTCTCCCCTCTGTCTCTCAGACCCGTTGAGTCTCCATCTGCGGGAGTATTTCTCCATGTGCTCTGGTCCATTAAAGTATCTCTTTGTATCCACAGTAAACAACATGTCATTGTTGCTGTAAGAAGCACTCATTTTCTAGTTTGGTTGAATTTGTTGTGTCTTTCGAACACACCAAAGTAGTGCTTAAATAATTGGCCTGCTGAGAGAAAAGTAAAGTGAGGTCAGTCTTTCTTAAAATTAGCTAAAATATGTGGTATGGTACGTGTTAAATCTGCAGCAATGTATAGCCTACCTTCCATGGCGTCTCTCTGAGTGGTTTTTGAATAAAAGGGCCATGTTGTTGACCGGTATCCCTGTAGCTTATATATTGACAAGTATCTCATACAACCTCACTTCTCATACCTCATTCTTATTCCTTTAAGGAAAGGAGGATTTATACAAATTACAATTAGAACCAGAGGTTCACTGATCAACTTGCTGGTGACTGGAATCAGCAGATTTTCAGCCCGCTCTGCAGTAACTGGTGAGGCAGGTCCTCTCAAATGTATCAAGTTCTGTGCCGATCTCAGATTAACACACATGAGCAGCATGTTTCACGCCCTGCGCACAGCGACAGTCTAACGCGGCAGCCACACAAACACAAGCTTACATGTCAGCAGTGTGGACGTGAGGTGCCAATCAGCTGATGCAACAAGCATTGACCTAATGGAGGATAAAATAGATTGCAATAGACATGCGCTGGCTTCTCTTGCCTGAGAGTACCTTCACCACTCTTTGTTTTGCATACATGACGTATTATTTTTCAGGAAATATTATGGTTGAAAACATATTGATAATGAATGAATGAATGAACAAGATGAAAGTTCTGTGTAGCTGCAGAATGAGTTCATCGAGGCAGCTTAATGAATTGGTCACCCATTGTAGTTATTTGTTGTGTAATTCAAATTCCTTCAGAAGTCTGGGAGAATGCAGCTGTGAAAAGTGTAGCATGTCTTAGAGTTTTAAACACTTATCAGTTTGTATTTTATTATGACCATTAATAGAATTTTTCATTCTGTCAAAATCAGAATCGGCAGGTCAGACCTTGAAAAATAATCTGAAATTGGAATCGGCAAATAAATTCCAATCGCTGCATCACTAATAGAAACACGTGTTGTTCTTCTGCACATGCAGCAGCAGTGAATGTTTCACTCTGTTGACTGTGGGTGTGTCATGAAGCTCCTATCTTCAGCCTATGAACGCCTGAATGAAAACCGGCCCTCAGTATATGGAGTTAATGAATGGTCTCCTAGGCAACAGCAGCACTTAATACATTTTACTTAAGGTCCCCGTGCCTGTGAATGTGTCAGTATGGATAAAGTACAATTGTGCTTTTCAATGTACATTTTTCAAGGCTTGAATTAAACAATTTTCTTCATATGTGTTCAATGGAAATGGAATAAATCTGAAAGCCATCAGCAGTGACTGCCCAGGACCATAATGCATTGCTCTCAGGAAAATAAATAGACCATTAAGCTGGCATGTTGGAGGCTGAACAGTAACTAGCTTTAGAGAGAGAGAGAGCTGCCTCCCACACACAGGCACCCTGCAGAGACCGTTGAGATCATTGTATGGCAGAGGAGCCACAGCCGCAGATTTGCCCTCCTCCATCATGCATTTGAACAAATATCAACTGGCAGGATGGAAGCATCTTTTGTCCGTTTGACATGTCAAAGGCAAATTCAAAGAGCCCCCGTCTTGCTGCGAAGAAGCAGAGGGTTGTAAAGTTATCTGTAAATTTGTCTTGCAGATGCCCCCCCCCCCCCCACACACACACACACACACACACACACACACACACACACACACACACACACACACACAAACACACATTCCAAGGTGTTTCTTTGAGGTTGCTTTGAACACATGTGCGATAGTGTCGCGGTTGATTCTGTAATCTATCCGTACATGCCGGGGAGCAGCACGCCCTGTGGCTTGGCATTAGCATACTGTTGGGTTTACTTTGCTTGTGTTGAACACGGAAAAGAAAACACTTGTAGATGTGGAGGAAGGAGAAGAAGAAGGAGGAGGATGGGGAACGAGCCAAGGAACAGGGAGCTAAAAACCTTAACCTTCACAAGCATAACATCCTCCCTGTTTTCCTACAAAGACTAAGCCGCTGCTAGTTATTATTTACGATGGCTAAATTTATGGAATAATATCAGTGAGGGAAGGTTACTCAGTTCCTCAAGGTGAAAATGGATACGTTTAGCACTTAATGAATCGGGCCCAAGCCTCTCCCCCATATATCAGCATGTTATTAAGACATTTTAAAATCCCATTATGGTGTTTCTCCTTGAACATGTCATGCTTTTATTGGACTGCCCTGTCTTTAAATCTGACCTTTTCAGTCCTGCTCTGGAACTGAACACAAAAAAAAAAGATGTAACATGTGGAGAAGGAACAAACTGTACATATCTATGTATAAAAATATCAATGCTGAATGGTTTTCAGTGATCTGACAGGAATGCTGGTATTTTCTAGCAATAAAAAGATGAATAAATAGAGGCTACAAATGCTTTACTGTAAATGGCTCAGTGTGGTAAAAGGCTGGTTTTATGTTCCAGTAATCTTGTTAAACATTTGTGCCACTTTTAGCCCCAATTCTACTTATTTGAATAAATATGTTTTTTATTGTTCAATCTATTTGTTTTGCACTGACTCGTGAAAGCAGGATTACTGGTGTCACATCTGTGCAATAAATGATCTTGTAAGCCTTATGCTCTGCTACAGTAAATAGATATTAAACGTGCACGTGAGGGCAGGTTTATAGACAGTAGAGGTGTTAATATGTGACTTTTCACCACATATTTGATTTAAACAAAGTCATTACAAATCAGAGTGAAATCTTTCAAACTTTCCCTCTAAACAGATGGAGCTGAAATTGTTCCACTTGAACAGCAGTAATGAAAAAAAAAAAAAAGGAGGTAAAGTTGGGAAAGGAGGAGAGCGTGACACAAAGACTGTGATGACAGAAGCATCTAATCCAGGCAATGCCATTCTTATCAGGGTCCAGTGGATTAGAGTGAGCCTCCTAACCACAGAATGCTTCCCAGCCAGACACTCTCCACAGCCCAAGGGCCTGGATCAATAGGCCCGCATTGATCCCTCTCCTCCTGTGGCTGGATTCACTTTTATTAGGACTGCTTCGGCCTTTATCACTTAGACACACATATGCAGCCTCTATAAGAACCTGCCACGAAATACAAGACTAAATGAACATCCAGACACACAAACACATTGCAAGAGAGCCCATTTATTTTGTTTTCACTGAATATCAAGCGAGCAGAAACACTACAGTGTCAAGTCAAGTATAACACTCAAACCACTATAACAGCTATTGGTATGTAAGAGAGGTGCATGGAGACCGCTGCTTTGTGGGCCTCTTGTTTCAGCAGCCCGATGCTAACCTCTCTCTGCTCTGTCTTCTTCTTCTTCTTCTTCTCTCTTCCAGATGACACGCCCCATCCAGGTGAAACCGGCTGACAGCGAGAGCCGTGGAGGTAGTTGTCTTCTTTTCTTCATGATTTATTCACATCCCTTTTTTCATCTGTCTTATCTAGGCTAATTCTTTTCATTCTCTTCCCTCTGATCTCATCTGTTCCACTGCTCTGAATGCAATGTTTCCCCTGCCAAAAATCCCCTTTCCCCCCCCCCATTTCTGTTTTCTTTTCATGCTGCTGCACTTATTTATGTACATGCAGATTTTTCATCACTGTAAATAACTTTACAAAATATCTTAAACTAAACTGAGTCTAAATTTGTTGCAGACACAATGCATGACATAACAAAAGTAGATTTGAGTTTTCCTCTGTTTGAATGCGTTTCTCTCATCTTGAGGCAGATTAAGGCACATTTTCTATAGTTGTCCATAATCTCACATCATCATATTATGGCTTTTCTGTTTGTTTCTTGTTCATATCCTTTGGTTTTTGAGGATTAATCTCACAAAGTCTCATCCTGCATCAGTGCCTTGGACTGGTTGTAATTGAATAAGGGGTCTGTGCTATTGAAAGTGTTATAAGGTTATGAATGGCTTCCCTGCTGCCAGTCTCCATTTTATTGTTCCCTATGCCAAGTACATTATCATTACCCTGTAAATTATATCGTGATTAGACTTTATACTGGAACCGTATAGGCATGCAAAGCACCCCACACGTTAGAGCCTACAGTCTATGGTTAGAGCCCACACCGCCTGCTCCGTGTGCATTTGAAAGACAAGCGTAAATGGTATAGAGGGAGAGGAAAACGGAGCCGGAGCGCATACAGCTTGCCAAACAATCAATACATTTTCAGGGTCCTTGCCAAGATCCTCATTACTTGGCCTTAATTCTGTCGTCTTTGATCTCTCTCTGTTTTTAGAGTCTTTTATTTACTCACTGCCTATCTGCATATATGTTAATGAGATGAGGAGGCATCCTTCAAGTCAGTGGCAGAAATAATGAATCTTGCCTTTTTTTTTTTTCTTTTTTGGTGTGCATCCTATGTGTCACCCAGTAAAAAAAAAAGTGACTTTTTGTAGTTTAATGGATAAAGACTGTATTCAGTGCTTTTCTTTTGTGTTGGAAGGAGAGTCACATTTTAAAGTGAGAAGGAAATGCAAGCATGATGCCAGCTGCATACAGCTGCTGTGCTGCACTTCTGAGGCTTTACCTAAAAACATCTGCATGATTTGGGTGAACAAGGATGGTTGGCCACTTGGCTGCCTCTCAAATATACACAATCTTCAAAGGACAGCATAACCCAGACTGAGACTGATGGAGGAAAGGCCAATAAAAGATCACTGTCAGTCAGTCCTCCATACTTTTTCTTTCTTTCTTTCTTTCTTTCTTTCTTTCTTTCTTTCTTTCTTTCCCCTATACTTCTTTATCTCTTCCTTTTTTTTTACTTTCTCTCTGTCTTTCTTTAGTATCTTAGTCTTTCTATTTGGTGTCCTTCTGTACTTTCTTTGAGTATCTGTTTTTTTATTATCTTTCTTTTCTTCTTACCTTCTCCTTAGGTTTGTTCTATCTCCTTTATTTCCCTCTATCTCACCACCATTCTTTCAGCGCTTTAGAGGAGTGGTGAGACAAGCAAAAGGGTCCTGTGCTGTCAAGATTGATGTTCCCTATAGCTCCATTGATTTGGCCATTGTGGTGCTGTGTGTCCACATTAACAATGACACTCAGCTGTCTTTTTACTTAGTTGTGAGTGGCCGGTTTTAGAGCTCCCAGGGCGCTTTGGTCAGTATGGGGTCCTCTTACTGGCCAGCCTTCAGGACCTCTCTGCAGAACAAATGAGTGCTGGAACAGACCTGAGAGTTGCACATCATCTTAAATGAACAGGTCAGAGTGGCGCCGCAGGGGCGATCAAATACTAGCGTGACTTTAAAGGGTTAGGAGCTAGAAGGGGGAAGAAGAAGACAGGGAATAAATGGTTGAATGGATCTGTTTTTTTAATCAAGTTTCCTCATCCTTTAATTGGCTGGTGTGAATTACTTCTTCTGTATCATTGGCAGTGACAATTTTCTCCATTTGTGGTGCCTTCTTTAGCTGCTGATGGAGTGTGCCGCTGATGCTCCTCCATGGCCTACTTTTTCAAGCTTCTTATTTGTGTTAAAAGATTGAAGAGGATTTCATCAAACAGTCTGTAATTTCAGGCTTCTGTAATTATTGGCTCTCCTCATTTCACATTTTCAAATCTGGCAGGCTTACATTTTTGTTATTTTGATCCTTATTTTCTTGCTGTTGCCAGATCCAGATCAATACATTAAGGACTGTAACTCAGCATGGCGCACAGGAGCTGGGAGAGCGGATGCAGAAAATATTAATTAACCTCTCAGTGCAGCGGAGGGAGGGGACGCCAGGGACAAACCCAGTCTGGCCTGCTCTCTCAGGGGCAACACTGCTAGTCCGATAGGGGCCATATATTCCTCAGTGCCCACAGTAACACTAACACACAGTCATACTAATTAGTCCCTTAATCTCATTATAAGGGGGACGGTTCAGATCACCTGTGCCAGGCTGGTCGTCCATTAGGGAAAGACCTGTTACTGTGGTTTTATGCCTGCTGGACCTGCCGTCCTTCAGGAGCTACAACTCTGCTATTAAGACAAGACGACTCCTCCAAATATGTCAAAAACCGAGCAGTTTCCTGATGGAGATGTTCACAGTGTTCACCTCAAAAAGAGCAAACATGGGAAAATATGTACTGTAAGGCATCTAGTAAGATTCACACAGGGCATATGAGTAAACCTCCCTGCTTTTAGAAATTAAAGGGAAATATACGGTAGAGTAAATCCATCCAAACACTCTGTCAGCCCCTGCTGCCGCCTAACAAAGACACACTGTGAAATGAATATTAATGGCCAATCACCTACCTAATCTAGCAGAAAAGCAGCCGTTATACATTGAGCCACCAGCACCGCCAAAGTCTCCGTCACCGATGACGCAGAGCACTCTGGGATCCTTCTGTTGGGGAGAAGTTTAAAGAGGGGCAGCGAGGAGGCAGCAGGGACCTGTCTCTCTCTCTCTCTCTCTCTCTCTCTCTCTCTCTCTCTCTGTCTCTCTCTGTCTCTCTCTCTCTCACTCATTCTCTTTCTTTCTCTCGTTTTCCCCTCACAGGTCTCTGATATGAAATAGATTGATTTTCCATCAGCCATGGCACTGATGACTGGCACTGACTGCTGCTGATATTTCATTTTTGAAGGGCTGTTCAGTGCCTCCTTAGAGGGCTTGGCGTCCTTACACAGGATAAATCAGCTTTAACGGCTCTGATTTCATCCTAAACCCTTTAGCAGTGGCACCCCTCCTTTAGCATTGCACCATCACTATCTACCCTTTTCTGTAGTCTTTTTTTTTTTTTTTACTAAACTGTCAATTCATTACATTCTTTAACGGAGCCATGTTGCTTTCACACTAAATATGTTTTTTCTCTTCATAAATCCTGTTGTTTTTTCACATTTGGCTTTTCACATTTCCAAGCTTAACCCATTGTTCAAGTTCTGAGCTCTGAGATTGTCCATGAAGCAGAGAGAGGAGCAGGCTTGCTGTCAGCTGGGACTCGGTTGGTGTTGCGGCAGGCCTGCCTGGCACAGCTAGAGCTGCAGCCCACTGAGAAGGCCTGGATTAGAAACACGCTCTGGCATTATCAAGGCAGGCCTGCCGCCCACGCACCCACCCACACAGAGAGGACAAACAGGCAAACGCATACATACCCATACGGCTCTGACTGCCTCTCTCCCTCTCATGCTAAAGCATGACTGCACAGTGGAAAGTTGGATGTACACTGCAATATGAACATGTGTGTACAAACAGGGACGTGCCCAGCACAGGTTACATATTTACACACATAAACGCAGACACAAAGTGCGCATACACTGAATGGAATGGGTCAATTTTCTTTTCATGCGCTGTGTTTCATGTCGTGGGCCAAACAGCATGCGTTGCATTGTGTTTTTGTGTTTACTCCAACCGAAGGACAATAAAAAGGTTTGCTCCAGTTCACTGAGATGTGACGGAACAAAGAGAGAGAGGGAGAGAGAGAGAGGCAATAAGCTAAATGGAGAGTGAGTGCAAAAACAAGAGACAGAAAGATTGGGAATCTAGATTGAGAGGGCAGGTTTACATGCTCTGCTGCTGTTCTACGCTCAGTTTTCGATGATGAATTTATCTAGTTTGAGAGACAACAGAGTGGTCCATGTATTAAACATCAGTGGTTGTTCTCCTTTTCCTTACCAGAGACGAGCTCCCCATGTCAGAGCAGCTCTATAATGAAGCGAGCAGGAAGGCCTCTATAAGCTCCACTGATCCCCTTTAAGAAAAAGAGAGGAGGAAAAAAGAGGAGAGGGGTAGTTAGAGGGAGAGGAATGAGGGGTGAAAAGACGGATGGTTAATGTAGAGAAGTGAAAGAAGAGAATTTGTACTGAGAGAGAGAAAGAGAGAGAGAGAGCAAGTGCAAAATAAACAGAGAAAAGTGTAAGTAGAGGGAGGGGCGGAAGGGGCAAAGCAAAGAGCTGAACAGTATATCTTCTCCCTTTAGAGAGAAGAAAACTATAGATTACTGGTCTCAATGTGCTTGGCTGGGCATAAATGGAGAGATCTTGAAATAGTAGGGAGTATGTTCGGAGGTTGCAGGGATCAGAGGGAGCTAATCCAATGGTAAGGCCAGCTGCGGGTCACACATTCAGAGCTCACACTCCTTGTCCAAATCCCCTCTGGTGCTCTTACCCAAACAATACTGATACACGGTCCCAGAGTTCAGTCTGCTAACTCCACAGAGCTGGCCTGGGATGTTGAGGTCATTCTGCTTGTAAGCCCTTAAATGTACCCCTACATCAGTACATAGGGGTTTGTTCTGAAGAGGAGGGCTGAATCGTGAGGGAAGAGAAAGCAAGCGAGCAAGAGACAGAGAGAGAAAGAGATGATGAAATCGTTTCTATAGGGATGTGTGTTTGCTCCTGAGGGTCAGATTGTGCTGAGGCTGTTGTGAGTTATGCAGAGTCAGTGGAAGAAGTAGATCACAA